ACTGGAAGCTGACGGCGAGCCACACCAAAAAGACGTGGTTCAAATCGTTCGCTGTAAGTTTAGTAAATCAATTTAATTTATTTTTAATCATTTAAAATTATGAATATTATTGAACTAATCCGTCTTTTATTTTTTCTGGTTGCAGCAAAAATACCGTTGGTCTATTGGGATTCACCAGCGGGTGAAGTCAGAGTTCGAGGCCAAGGCAAAAGCAAGATTGTGCGACATGGTCTACAACTGGAAGGACGACTTTCAGGTATAAATTTATAAATTATAATATATTTATAGTTTTAAAAATATATATTATTGACTTTAATTCTAATTATCTTAAATCAGGTGGACGGTTACGAGCGCGGGAAACCCGATTGCCTCACAACCATGGTGTGGGATGGCCTCATCAGCTATTGGGCGTTGCCGGACTCGATCAGAACCTCCCAGACAAACTCCGAGAACCGCATGACCACAGACGAGCATGGCAACACGAAGATGCTTCACACCACGGGCCGAAAACCTCACGGGGGAGTTCGTCTAGACATGGTATTTTTTATAACTATTTAATTTTTACTTTATTTGAATATTCTAATATTCTAAATTAATATTTAATTTTTTAAAAAAATTAATGCTAAAGAGACATGAGTTATTCCTTCTCTGAAAGACTTTTACGAGCGGACCCACCGGAAAAAGAGTGGGCAGTTTGTAGATCCTGCTTCCGAGCGGATCTACAACGAGGTTGCTGTCCGAGTTGACGAACGCCAGACCCAACTGACTCAGCAGACTGGGGCTCCGGTCGTATTATCCACTCTTGTAGTGGATAAGATTTACGAGGAGGTAAATAATTTTTTTTAATATATTAATTTTTATTACTTATTTAAATTTTTCCTTACGTTATTAATATTTTATTTACAGGTCGTCCCTAGGAAAAAGGGCCGTATTGTCGGGATTGGCTCGGTTAACGATGTCCCCGAAGTGACATCGGCTTATGTTCACCAACAAGCCGATGCCAATGCTCAGCTGCAGACGGAGTTACAGGCGACGCAGGCTCATGTGAGTACGCTCACCGATATCCTCGACATTATGGCGGTTGGAAACCCGCAAGTGGCGGAGATGTTGCGTCAGAGACGGGAAAGCGGAGCCCTTCCATCCCAACAGCCTCCACCATCTCAGTCACAGCCGGCATCCAACATTGGAGACGACGACTTCGTGCACCAATTTCAAGAGCAGCATCCCTTTTAGTTTTTTTTTTGTTTTTAATTGTATACTAGGTGTTTTGCCCGCACTTGCGGGCTTAATAATTTTACTAATATTTATAAATAAATATATAATCAAGTTATGTAAATTATAATAAATTATTGTTCATAGACACAAAATATTTAATAATAAACTAAACAAATTCTTTTTATTTATTAAATTTTTCATCATCATATAAATAATTTTCCTTACACAACTTATATTTGAAAATACTCATAAACTTAAAACATTTAGTAATAAATTAATATNCTAATATTTATAAATAAATATATAATCAAGTTATGTAAATTATAATAAATTATTGTTCATAGACACAAAATATTTAATAATAAACTAAACAAATTCTTTTTATTTATTAAATTTTTCATCATCATATAAATAATTTTCCTTACACAACTTATATTTGAAAATACTCATAAACTTAAAACATTTAGTAATAAATTAATATCATTTTTAGACATAACAAAAAAGTATAAAAAATTATCTTTAATAATGTTTTCGATAACACAATATAAATTATCTATACGTAAATTCTTTGCAAATTGATTTTTTATAATTAACTATATATTAACAAATAGAATTATTTTTTCAACGTTAATAAAGACTTTATAACACAATATAAAAAACTTAGATAAAGATAATCGAGAACTGAGCTGGCCCAAAAAGCGCTGGGGCATTAACAAATTCATGAGATTCAATTTTTAATTTAGAATTAATTATATGTTAACAACTATAATTATTTTTCAAGGTTTATAAAGACTTTATCACATAATATAAAAATAAATTAAAATAAGGATAATTATCAAATAAATGAAATTCGATTTTAATTTATAATTAATTATATATTAACTAATGTATTTTTTTCAAGTATATTAACTAATATAATTATTTTTCAAGGTTAATACAAAATTTATAACCCAATATAAAATAATTTTGGATAAAGATAAATCTAAAATCATTGAAATTCGTTTTTTATTTATGTTTAATTATATTAATTTTTTTAATTATTCATTAAGGGTATAAACGATATTAACCATTCTAACTTTCAACGTGAGAGCTTTGTTACAAAAAAATCATTCACAAATAATAGTATAAATCATTCACAAATAATAGTATAAATTACCTAAATCACAGAAAGTTACAAATTAATCAGCAAATTCACTTAAATTTTATAATTGAAAAATATATTTTTAAGATAACAATCTAATACAAAAGAATAACATATTTTTTATAAATATAATATTATTAACATAAATTCGTTTATATTATATAATAAATTATTAAAACATGAAAATAATCAAAATAACCTAAAATCATGGAGAAGTTGACAACTAAGCAAATTTACTTCTCAAATAATGTTATAGATTTTTAAGATAACAATCTAATACAGAAGAATAACATATTTTTAAAAAAAAATAATATTATTAACATAAATTCGTTTATATTATATAATAAATTATTAAAACATGAAAATAATCAAAATAACCTAAAATTATGGAGAAGTTGACAACTAAGCAAATTTACTTCTCAAATAATGTTATAGATTATGAATTTTAAAACTTATTAATTGTATATTATTTAGTTATTTATAAATATTTTGTTATTTATTTTTGTATTTATAATTTGTTTTTTTAATTTTTTTAATATATATAATTTTAATTTATAAATATATTTTTTTAAATAGGAAAAAATTGTTTCGAAGCAAAATCCTCGTAAAGGTTTCGCAGTAAACTCCTCGTAAACTTTCCTAGCAAATTCCTCGTAAAGAGCCTACTACGAGATTACGAAGAAATAGTTTACTATGCCCTTATGAGAAAAGTCTACGTGGATCTTAGAGCATCTCCATCCCTGAAACTCTAGCAAAAGTTCTTAGTTTTTTTTTTCAATTTTTTTTTTATTATTTTTTTCAGAACTAAAAAAAAAAAAAAAAAAAGAACTACTCGCGGGCCGACACTTGGCAGTCGGGCCCGTGAACAGTGTAAGAGTTGCCTCTTAAATAGGGGTTTTGTATCCCATTTGCAATCCCAGTTTCAAATAATTATTTCATAAATATTCACAAAAAAATAACCATACATATTATATTGTCGATATAAACAAAAAAAAATTGTCATTTTCAAATCATAAGTAATTTTCAAAAAGGTAAAATGAATTGAATTTGGAAGATTTGAAATGAGTTGTTCCAAAACAAAAAAAAAGGAAGTTTTGAAATGAGTAAAGAAACAAAGTCTAAGCAAGCCAATAAGATAGGTACACGTTGCAGCCGACTCTAGCACAAATGGTGTGAATGAAATATATAAACATCGCTAAAAAAAATTATCCGACGAAGAGACACCAGAAAAGCCGACCTTTTTGCCGCTCCCTCCTCTTACCTCTCAGCTTCTGCTGGATCGCTCCAGCTGAGAGGATCTTCTTCGGAGAGATTCGTACGGTAAAGTAGTTTCCTTTTCATTTCTATCTTGCTTTGTATCTCTTCTGGATCTCGATTTCAATCCCATTTTCGATTTCCTCTTTTGGTGTGTTTGGAGGGTTTTCTGTAGACTTACGTTGTGGGGTTTTTTTTTGTCCCTCTTTTCATTTGATTAGAGGCCAATCGATCAAAGGCTTCTCGGGCAATCAGGTGAATAGCTTTAAAAAAAAATTAGGGTTCATATCAAAATGTTTAATGATTTGATTTGTGGATAATATTTGCATGTGGGTTTTGTTTGTCTTAGTGATTTGAATTGAATTGAATTGCTGGAAAAAGTTTAAACCTTCGTTCTGGTATAAAAGCCTGATTTCTGAACATGTCGTTTCTGTGAAGATTACCTATTTGGGTTTGGTATAGTTTTGAAATAATTATATTGTATGAATTTGCTATGAAGCTTCTCATCTTTTATGCTGATGATATAAGAAGCTAGTTTCAAGCAATTCATTTCTGAAAAGGAAGGTTGTGTCGAATGGAAATGAGATTAACTATGTGGGCTTTGTATGTTTTGGATATTTGAAATAATTTGCGGAAAAAGGCAAGCAAAAGGTTGTGTATGGATAGATATGAGTTTAGATGCTCTGCTGTTTCTAAATAACTCAATACACTTACATTTTTTTTGGGTATCAGGTGTGCTATTCATTGATCAGGGACCAATCGATCAAGGCTTCTCGGGCATACAGGTAACTACTGTTTTGTTATATGAATTTGTAGTTTTATTTTTGGGTTCAGTTCTGAGCTGATTAATTTATGACTCGACCGGTTAATGATTTGATATGCTGTGTAGATTTTTCATGTGGGTTTTGTTTTTCTTTGTGATTTGAATTAAATTACTGGGAACAGATTTAAACTTTGTCTGATATGAAAGTCGTATCCTGCACATATCATTTCTGAGAAGATTAGGTATTTGGGTTTAGTATGGTTTTAAAACTAATTATATGATTTGCTATGAGAGTTCTCAGTTTTTAGGCTGATATAAGAGGCTGATGTCTAGCAATTCATATCTTGAATGAACTATGTGGGTTTTGTATGTTTTGGTTATTTGAAATCATTTGAGATGAAGGTTTTTAGGTTTTAATTTCTGTTGATAAAGATTGTGTTGGATAGATATGAGATTAGATGCTCTGCTGTTTCTAAATGGTTCATTTTGCGTGATATCACGTGTACTTTAATTGAATTAGCTACAAGGTAGCTTAGGTATTGCAGTTTGGCGGGGTATCTTGTGGTTGTGATTGTGAATCAGGTTTTTAGTAGGATCTGCTTGTGTCTTTTAGGCTTTTGTATGAGCAATCAGTCTTTATTGTAAATAACATGTTCGTTTGCTTATCGTTACTAGAAGGGTTGTGCTTATTTGTTTCTAAGATGTTAGTGAAACTGAGGATGACTGCTTTTAAGTGCAGAAATGGACCACGACAAGACAGGATGCCAAAGCCCACCCGAAGGTCCCAAGCTGTGTGTTAACAACTGTGGTTTCTTTGGAAGTGCTGCCACAAATAACATGTGCTCAAAGTGTCACAAGGCTGTGTTGTTCCAACAGGAACAAGGGGCTAAGTTTGCATCATCAATATCCGGAACATCATCACCCAGCAACATCATAAAGGAAACCTTTACTGCTGCGTTGGTCGATACTGAAACCAAATCCGTTGAGACAATGGTTGTGTCTGTACAGCCATCCTCTGCCCAAGAAGCTGTTACAGAGGTTGTAGCAGTAGAAGCTGTAGCAAAACCAAAGGAAGGACCAAGCCGATGTACTACTTGCAATAAACGGGTTGGTTTGACTGGATTCAAATGTCGCTGTGGTGAACTCTACTGCGGGATACACCGCTATGCGGATGTACACAACTGTTCCTTCAATTACCATGCTGCTGCGCAAGAAGCTATAGCTAAAGCGAACCCGGTTGTGAAGGCAGAGAAGCTTGACAAGATTTGAAACTTGAAACTCTGTTTCCAAGGACACTCATGTTTCCTTCTTCCTGTCTGTGTCTGGTTCAAGGTGTGTCTCATGTCTAAAAAAAAAAGAAGGGCTTTTTTTTAATATATGGTCGAAGAACGAAACGTGTGTTAAATCTTTAGCTTCTTTCAGTCTCTCTGCAGTATTTGTGGTGTGAAACTTTCTATTATCTTGTGTTTGCAAGCAGAGAAATGTGCTGTTAAAAAGACATGATTTCATGTTTTTATCTTTCTTATTATTTATGAGGGTTATGCTTATGTTTCCTCGTTTGTGTCAGTATGGTACTGAGATTATCTGTAGCTATACGAAGAAAAAAGCTTATGAGGTGTCCTTAAAGTGGAGTTTTTAGGTCAGGCTCTTATTCATTTTCATATATCTCGTCGGCGAGCTATGTAACTTATTTACAGTCATGAATCTTTTAACATCTGGCTCGTTGAAGAAGACTCACGAGCTAGTTGAAATACTTAAAAACTAGCTTAGTTTACTATCAGGATCGGATTCGGCTCTGAAATTTGTAGGGCTGAATTAATTATAATTTGTTTTACAACAAATGCTATTCAATCAGTTCAGAAATTGATCTGAAAATTTATATCGGAATAAAATCATCAATAACAATTCTTAAAAAATGTTAGCTCGGTCTTGGCTAAACTATATGCCGTTCGGTTTTGTGCTATGATCGTGAAATCCTTTCTTGAATATATGGTAAATAGTAACTTGTAGAAAAACTTGACAATGCTCTCGGTTCTATGATCATTGAATTTACATCTATGCAGTCTATTTCGAAGTACTGACACGACGTATGTTGAATATATTTTCATTATCTATATGAAAGCATTTAATTCTGAATATATATATATATATGTTAGATAATTTGGGAACCGGATGATCTATCTATATGTATATAAGTACATGTTACATTATTTGAGGATCTTGAATGTTTTTCTGATGGTTTCTAGAATCGGCTTTGACTAATACTATAAATAAAATGACCCTACTAAAGTTAAATAAAATTCGTGTAAATTAAATTGAAAATGACAGATATGAACTTATGAAGTTGAAGAACTTGGATTTTCATGGTCTTTTGAGTCAAGTTATCCTCGATTCGTTAAGTATTTTGCTACATATGACGCTAGTCATTTTGAAAGAAAATAACCATCCAAGAAACAGAACAGCATCTTTTATTGAAAAACCAGCACAAATAATACATAACCAAAACTAAAGAGCGCACTCATACAAATTAATGCTTAGAGAACAAAACAAACACACAAAACATAATTAACATTCATTGTTGTTGCAATCATCTTGTTGCTCGATATCAGAAGCAGCCTCGTAGTAGTCATCATGATATCCCCCAAAGCTATCAATCCCACAAGGAACATGACCATTCCCAAAAGCCTTGACGTGGTCCTTGAGAGACCTCTTGTGCTTAAAATCCGAGCCACATGAGCAATATCAAAGCTTACCACAATTCTTCTCATGCGTTCTCCAATCTCCTTTCACTGCAAAGGCTTTGCCACACCTGCTACAAGCAAAAGGTCTAGGCCCATGTTTGCGTTTGTAATGTGTTTGGAGGGTACGAAAGTCCTTGAGAGGCTTGGCTCGTGGGTGGTCAATGTTGTTCTTACAGCCTGGTGCACAGCAAAAACATGGTAGTCTTAGCATTCCTGTTGGTTGTGTTCCTCTAAGTGACTCTGGTCCCTTTCTGTATCCCTTTCTGTATTGTGAATCGTGTCCCCACATGTGCATCTACAAGGAAAACGTTTTTCACGTCATCAATCATAGAGGAGCCGTCGGTCTTATTGTGGTGGGTACTGTGACTCTTTGGATTGGATTATTTCAAATGCAGATATCTTATATATTAAAATAGAAGTCATGACTTGACTTCATGTGTGATTTTTTCAAAAATAGACTGTTATCATGTTACATTAACTCTCTAATAATCTTATTATTATTATATCTTATGAAACATTTATATATATAATAACACAGATACGCTTAACAATTTAGTTTGGGTAAATTACCCTACACCTTCCAATTTAATCACTCAAAATAAGTCAATAGATATAAGTTTAGGAATCTTCTATTATTTATAAAGAAATATGTCAATAATAATTAAATGCAGCCACAATATATTAACAAAAATCATGGATTCGTAATATGGAATATTTATATACTCTAACCAAATTTACACTATATATACTAGAAAAATTTATTTCGATGTAAATTTTTAAAATTATGTTGTTTTAAAAAAAAATTGTTGAAAATTCTTTTTTTTTAAAATAAAATTCTTTATAATATTAATTTATGAAGCTATAAATTTAGTTTTTAGCGAAAATTTCTTCGAAGTTTATATTATCTTTGCAAATTAAAGTATACTAATATTTAATAAAGCTCCATTTTGTATTACTTTATTTAAAAATGAAATACTAATCTAACAAACAATAAAATATAGAAGAAGAAATAAACACATATTTGAAAAACATGTATAATATAGAAATTTGAAACAATTTATTTGATTAAAACACGTATTATATAATATTATTATGTTTAAAAACATTTACTATACACTTCGTAAATATGTGATTACTATAATATATACCAAGTGAAAACAAAATGTTTATATAATTAACTATAAACGAAAACAAACACCCGCGCAATTGCGCGGGTCAAAATTTAGTTTGTATTAATATATTTGAACGATCACTTGTTAAGACTACATTTTGTAGTTGTTGGAAACATTTAAAGCCAAACGTATCTTCCTCTGATGTGAGTTTAGTTACCGTTTACAAGTTTCAAAAATAAATTGAAAGTTTGAAAGTGTCATCTTTTTAGATGAACTCGATAATTTAACATACATGAACATAGGAAAAAAAAAAAAACCTCAAGCGTTACATAGTTAACGTTTTATTAGATGTAAGAGGCTTTAAGCCTTTAACAAAAAAAAATGCAAAAGCGAAAACCAGTATATATAAAGTTATATTTTGTAGATAGTATAGCCTCTTTTTTCATGAAAAAAATTTGCTTTTGTGAAATTCTTTCCTCCTTTATACATTAGTTAAGAAGTGATTTTGTTATTTGTCATCACCATAATCAATTTCACTAAAATATAGATGACATGCAATAGTAAAAAATATGACATGTCTTAAGACAAAATATGACATGAACAATTACATTTATTGTTACTTTTTATTTTTGGCAAACTTTTTAAACTATGATAATACTCATATATCATCATTAAAATAAATTTATTGAAATATTTTTAGTATATTTTTATAATATAAAACTTTTATCACTAAATAAGATTTTAAAAATTTATGTATATTTTTAAGAAAATATAAATTTTAATCAATACCATTTACTTTCCTTTAATATCTACAAATTTGAGAAATTCTATTTAGTTTTTATTACAATTTTCTATCATTTTTCTAATCTTATATAAGTTGATTTAAAATATACTAACCTAATGAAATAAATGAAAATCTATCTAGGTTATGCATATTTATTCTTAAATATAATGTAAAATAAATTAAATTATTTACTTAATCTTATTTTATGTTTAATTAAATTAAATTTATATTAAAATATTGATATAAAATAAAAGTAAAATTAAAATATTAACAAAATTTATTTTAAATATTATTTAAATTAAAAATAATTATCTTATATTTAGTGTAGGAAAACGCTTAGTAACTACTAGTTGTGGGTGTCTATCTCTTGGGTTGTATATAAAAAACGTCTATTATATTCACAAACTAGGACTTGGCCCGTCCTACGGGCGGGTTAGTAATTGAAAAAATTATACAATATATTATTAATTTTATTGAATATTTTAAAATGATTAGTTTACTCTAAATTGAAAAAATAATCTCTATTTTCAATATATAAGGTTTGATGTTTTTTATTACAGGAAAATCTTAGAATTATAATACAAAAGATTACAATTATACATATATTTCAAATTCTACAAATAACAATTATATATTTTTACATATTATCTATTTTGAGTAATAGTGATATTTTTGAAATGATGCTTGTTATATTTTTAGCATGCTTTTTTCAGCATATTTTTTTGATTTTTTTTTTGTTAAAAACTTAAAATGTTGATAAATACCCATATAATAGAGGCTTTTAACTAAAAATGTTATTAAGACAAAGATATGTCATGTAATACGAAACGCAGCTTGGTCAATGTTGGGATAAGTCTCGAGGTCACACTCACTGTCAAGGCAGTAACGCAGGAATATTCTGGTGTAGAAAGAGAGCAAACAATATATTTTTTTTTTGTAGAAAGAGAGCAAACAATATATAAACACTATTATTAGTCCTAACTATCATCTTTCTTCGACAGCTTTAAAGAAATGAAAGTATTCTAACTCCACATAGAAGGTTATATCCTGCACATGGTCCACATGTTATAGACAAAGATGATCATCATGAATTGACTAAAGAGCAAAAGATAAGAAATCATTTTCTCTGAACCTAGACATGTTTGATCTAAACAGTTTTGTTCATGCGCTTCAATGTGTTATATGACAATAAATTTAAATGCTGTTTTCTAATTTTCTCTCATTTTATAAAATAGAGGTACTGTATTATATTGAAGACCCATACACACATGTCAGAATATGAAAGAATTTAAGCAAAAAAAAAAACATATTCTCAAGATCAAACCAAAGAGAAAAGGTTAACTTCTTATGATGATTTTGTAACATTCCGGTTTGTGATATATGGAAAGGCTTAAGAGAATTGATTTGGCTACCTATGTCACCAAAGTACACTTACCTTTTCGGGAGCACATCCAGAGGGAACTCCAGAGTTAAGCGTGCTTGAGCTGGAGTAGTCAAAGGATGGGTGACCTATCGGGAAGTGAGTTGCGATACCGTGTAAGTGAGGCCAAAGCACGGGGAAAGGTCATGTGGTGATTGTAGGGTCAGTAAACATGACTCTAGAGCCTTGGAAAATTAACGGACCGGCCGTTGGATCGGGATGGGGCCCACGGGCCGAGTGAGCGGCGTGGGCGGCCCATTAGCCGTGGGCGGTCGGGGCGTTACAAGTGGTATCAGAGCTGGTTAGCCATCTTAGTTCTGACCTGAGAGGCGTCTTGAGACCTGTCGGGGAGCGCAACGAGGACGTTGCGTTCTTTGAGAGGGGGTGAATTGTAACATCCCGGTTTGTGATATATGGAAAGGCTTAAGAGAATTGATTTGGCTACCTATGTCACCAAAGTGCACTTACCTTTTCGGGAGCACATCCAGAGAGAACTCCAGAGTTAAGCGTGCTTGAGCTGGAGTAGTCAAAGGATGGGTGACCTATCGGGAAGTGAGTTGCGATACCGTGTAAGT